ACAAGTCAAAGGAACACCTAAAATAGTATAGGAGAACCAAAATGGGTATTTCTGTGTGAAAACCTGCTCATGTGGGCAATGGAAATAATATTTTTTTTTTCTGGAAAGCTGATCTGTTTTGTAGAGACCTCGTGGTCTGACATGTTTCTGCTCTTGATCTAGAACTTTTCTGCTCTTTCTTGCTGGGAGTCAGAGGTAAATTAAGAGTAGGTCCTGTTGGCTTGCTGGAGTTGGTAAAACTTGTCAGTAAATTGGGGACTTGCTGGCTGTTGCTTCCCTCTTCAATGGGAAATGGAGTATAGGACATTTTTATCTTGAGAAGGGCAAAAGAGAGGGCAGAGCTGCTTTTTGTTGCAGTTGTTTGAGTTGCTGCAGGAACACTGAAGGTTTGCATGGTTGGGAGGGTGTTGTGTAACAACAGAGCTTTTTCCTGTTTGCACTGTTATTCAATATTTGATCATTGCTCCTCTCCCCTGTCTTCAGCACCACCAGCTCTGATTCCCATTAACCTCCTGTCTTACATCCAGGCCAGCCTTCCAATTCTGCTTCTTTTCCTAAGGTGGAGCTGCCCTGCACTGGGAGATGGAGAATTGAGATGTCTGGGACATGAGGTCTCTCCCCAACCCTCCTTTTTTTCCTGTTGCTTTTCCAGAGAAAATTCACACAGATATGCTCTGAAGAACTGGATTTTCAATGCAGAGATGAGCGGTATAACCAAAGCTTGGCTATCCCACCTCATGTTTAGGATTAGGGGCCTTGCTCAGTGAACCTGTATCTCATTTATTCTTTACCTGAATGTCCCTAAAGCCCATTATTGCTGTGCAGTCTCCTCTCTCACATTAAGATTATGCGGAGTTACCTCTTAGTTTAATTTAAAGATTATTGCAACTGATTTTGGCTCTTCCCTGGTCTTAGAGTTCTGTGGTTAGTAGTCACCAGTGGTAATTCCCCTCAATATCTGGGATTTTAGGAAAAAAAGCCTTGTATCTTCTCAGTCACATAGGTCTTCTGCACTTTTCCCTTATTTAAAAATGCAGAGATGCCAGAGGCCACACCTTGTGGAGAGGTGAGTGCTTAGCCATGATTCATATGTTTATGAACCTGTTGTTCTTGGGAAAAGTTCAAAACTTGAAAAAAACCCACTCAAAAGTGGAAAAAACCCTACTCAAAACATGATTAAATATTAATTCTAAAGGTGAATGCCTGGTTGGCTTTCAGGCAATGTCAGGGCCCTAAAGTCAAAAATCAAAAGGTTTTTAAAGATCTGAAATTCCTATTAAAATCTGTGGTTTAGCAGCCTAAATCCAATTGAAATGCGGTGTAATTAACACTTCCAAGACACTTGGGGTTTGTTTCTAAGAAATTATGACCTGTAGGCAACTTGCAGCATTTTCAAGGGACTATGTAATTTTAAAACTGTGAATACTGGTCATTTCTGTCAGGGACCTTAGAAAACCTCTGTAAAAATACATATTCCTTAAGAAAAAGCTTTTTTTTTTTGGTGGCATCAAGACCCAGCTAATACAACTTCTCACTTGAACAGGTCCTTCACATTCTCACCGAGATTGTTGTTGAGCTATTCCTGTGAAGGTGGGAAAAATATTATGTGAGAAAAGGTGGTGGGACCATTTGTCTTTGACTTCTTTCTTTATGGAGATGTTAAGTATCCCACTGATGCAAAAGGGTCAGAGAGAGCAAAATGTGCAAATAATTTAATAAGGAAAAGAACTGTAAGACAGAAACTCACCAGAGTAAGGGACAATAGAATACAAAATGCCATAAAAGATAATAGGCTTAGATGAATTGGCATGTGTTAGCGATTATGCAATCATTCATTTCCCACAGATTTCTTTTTATAGGAAACCTTGGAAAATCCCTGAAGAACTGACCGAGTCATTTAACCACAACAGGTTTCTTTTCAACATGGCTGGGAGTGGGCGAGGAATATTTTCACATATTTGTGCGGTGCTGGCTCGTGCGGAAGTGCTGGAAGCAGCGGCGCAGAAGACGACGGAGGACGGTGACTCAGCCCCACGGCGAGTGGGGCCTCCTGCCACCCTCCACGGGGGGACCAGCCAGCCCAGATCCAAGTGGGAACGCTCTCGTGTGATCAGGAGCTTTGAGGTTTGGTCCATGGCTGATGAGACAGGCGCTATAGAGGATGAGGAGAGGGGATTTTGCTCCAGAGAGTGTTCCCAGATCCGGGCTGGATGTGACTCCCTCTGGCTCGCAGGGAGCAGCTGAGCTCTCCCCGGTCACTGGCAGAAGCAGTTGTTGGCTTCCTTGCTGTCATAGGCTGTTTAAATACTTGTGTTTCTGACAACAATTTTCCTTCACCACTGGGCTAAGGAAAACAAGACCCTGAGCTGCACTTCTGAGTTTCTTAAGTTCTTCCTAAACTCCTGTTTTTCTCCTTTCTTTCTTTTTTTTTTTTTTTCCTTTTCAAACAGGCAGTTGTCCTTGCATTCTTCAGAGCAGCTTCTCACAGCCTCAAAATGTCCCTGCTGTTTTGAGATGTGTCACTGGAGGAGTCACCCTTCACCCTTGCTCCAATCCCAGCCCCCTCATGTGTGTGACATCTCTCTCAGACTCTCCTTCTGCTAAAGCTTCCTGGTGCTGGGCTTGATGATCCTGGTGGATCCTTTCCAATTTGGGATACTCCATGACTCCACCACTTGCTCTGCTCGGCCCTGTGGAATAAAATTGCCCAAGCCACAATAGTGAAGGGAGGAAATGAGTAGGATTGCAGAGTTTCATGGAGATTTGTGGCCCCAAAAAATGGCACCCTGGATCAGGGAAGATAAAAAGGGTTTAATCACACTCATTTCATAAGAACCTTCAAATCATAAATTTGCTGGTATCACTGAAATGATCTTAGTTGGGTGCAAGGTGTTATTCTTTTTTCCATATAAGTAGCAATATGAGATGGTGAAAGACTTTGAACTCCAAGTCCTTTTAAAAGAATGAAAAACAAAATCATTTTGAGGATATATATCTCCCTCATGTTTTAGCTTTCAAATCCAGAATTCTGATGTCTGAGAGATGTTATAAATCAAAACCATTCACCAGGTTACAGACATTTCTGAATATGAAGTAGTTTATTATTAGAAAAAAAACAAAACAAAAGAAAGCTGCCACTAAATCCTGCAAGTGATTAAAAATGGTCATTAAGAGCATTTGCAAATATTTATCTTAGCTTAAGTTAGATGGGCACAATTTTGACTAAGCCATGAGGTTTTTTCCCCTTTAGCTACACTACTAAGCCAACTATGAATAGCAATGTTTTCATTTTTAAGACACATTGTCTCTCTTCTCAGTTTCAGCTCTCTCCTGTTGGAGTTTGACCTGCAGTACTTGGATAAAAAAAGCAAAGCAGGATAAGGGGCTGTCCTAGAGAGTTAGGTCAACCCCTTCTCAAAACAGCAATACCTCACTAAATCCTCCTCCTTCCTTCAAAATATCAGCAAACAATCTCAAAACCTGCTTGCTGTCCTCTGCAGCAGGGAGAGCACCTGATGGTGGAGCTCACCTGGTGGCTTCAGGTCACCAACAATGGTCCAAAGTCGAGAGTTGTTCCTGAGTTTGTTTCTCCCACAGTAGCTGAGCTGATCATGGTTGCATGAAATAAGAAAAGCAGTCAGCTCCAGTTGGCTCAGGGCAGAGCTTCTAAAAGAGAAAATTTCTTGACAGTCACACAATAAATTTTAAAAAGTTGTCATCAGTGATAACTGTGCATGATGGTTCTCACCTACGTTTGATCAAAAATGGCTCATGATTTCAGGTTCCTTTGAATTGGTCACTGAAAATGGTGCTGCTATCTCTGCTCCTATTTTAGTTGTCTTAGAATCATAGAATGCTTTGGGTTGGAAGGGATATCTTCCAAAGTTCATCTTATTCCAGCCTCCCTGCCAGGGACACCTTCCACTATCCCAGGTTGCTCCAAGCCCCATCCAACCTGACCCTGGACACTTCCAGGGATCCAGGGGCAGCCACGGCTTCTCTGGCCAACCTCACCATCTTCACAGGGAACAACTTCCTCCTAAAATCTAATCTAAATCTACTCTTCAGCTTAAAGCCCTCCCTTGCACAAAGTCCCTTTCCAGTTCTCCTGGAGCACTTGAAATGGCTCTAAGGTCTTCCCAAACTCTTCTCCAGAAGACAACTATCTCAGTCTGTTTCCACCCTTCAATTTTTCCATGGTTTTTGCCTGTGATTACAGTCTCCATGCATGCCCTCAGTGGCCAGGATGCCAAGTTTTAAAGTCTTTTGCAAATATTTGTGAAATATGTTTGCAGGTAGAAAATGCAGATGCAAGGTAAACTCTGAGTTGCCCATCATGTTTCCTTCCACAGGGCATGGACACCAGCCGGAGTTCCTCTTGCAGCAGTGCACTGAACCAATCAATGTCTGTGATTTTGAAACAGTGTTAATCTAAAGCAACGAGTTCTGAATAATGTTTATTAACTATATTTTAATGACTTGTCAGTTTTCTAAAACACATGCTGAAGTATTTTAGAAATCACTTAGTAAATGCAGTTTTAATTCTGCTCCCATATTCATGGGCTGCTACTTACTTTAAAAAAAAAAAAGAGAGATTAGAAGGTTCAGATTTAGAGCAGCAAATTGCTCTGCTAATCTGCAGGTATTTCTCTTCTTGATATGGCCACTAATGTCTAATCTTAGCAACGCAGGCTCCATCATTGTGCTTTTTCATTAGAGCTGCAATGAACTGTGTGCCAGGGACTTGAACTCTGGTGACAAGCTGCTCCGAGCCTGCGAGCTTTCACAGGAAAATGTTCTAAATATGAGTCTAAAATGATGCTGTTAGGTTTGTGCAAAAGATGGGGAGTTCACCGTATGAGCTCTGGTAGGAGCAGAGTTCCTGTGAACCTCTGGGCAGCGTGGGGTTAGGGCTGGCCGCAGATAGGAGTCTATGCCATGAAAAATTTTCAAACCTTTTAATTTGTTTCCATTTCTCATGAGACAGAAAAAAGAAAACCTTGGGAATTATATTCTTTTTTCCTGAAAATGTCGAGAACAAGGCTGTGAAGCACATCTTTTCTTCTGGATGCTGTCGGCAATGTTGGGAATGTCTTCAGAGTTGGGATTTGGACCTGGACCTCCCGCCATCCCTGGGCGTGTACATCAGGCTGTGGGTGAGTCTGGATTGGCTTCCTCTGTCTTTCCTCTGGCTATCCAAGCCCCTCATCCCAGACTTAAAATCTTGGCAATGACATTTTTTGAGAAAAAGCTACGTCTCTGTGAAAGTTTCAATGCTATAATAATTTTTTGATCAGCTGGAGTTCTGGTGAACTCTTTTTGCTGGAGGTTTTACTGGTTGTGACTGGTCTGTGACCTCGGTGTTATGATGTGCCCTTGTGTGACTCGCTGTCCCTCTCCCTGGAGCATGGAACAGACTGGTTTTGGTACAGAGCTCAGTAATGAGAGATGGTCATTGATATTTATTTCCTTATGAATTGGGATGCTGTTCTTGAAAGGGAATAATTTGGAAATCCTCACCTAGAGGTGAGGATTACCTCCAGGGAGTTATTCCCCATGTGCTGCTGAGCACGGAATTTTTGACAACTGCCTGTGTTCCAGTTTTTCCTGTTACTTGAGCTTTACCTTCCCATATTCCTGCGTTGTTTCCAGTATTTATGTGTTTCTGCAGCCAAGCGACCATGCAGACTGCTCCCAACATGCTCAGAACTTATCCACTTCCCTGTAGAACAATCTTCTCTATCTTTGTGGTTTTCCTCTCTCTCTATAGTGTCATAATTTTTTTTCATAAACTTTCATCTTACTCATTCCAAGTATGTACTAGTTTTGATCCTCCCCTAGAAACTTATTTCTCAGTTCTTTTGCTCCTCAGACAAAGGGATTAAAGATATCCTTTGAAACCAGTGGTCATTTGGCCATGGACTTTAAAGACAGTGAAGCTCTTAAGGAACAAAATAGTGAATACAGCCCAAAATCAGCCTTGATTTAATATTTTTGAACTTTGTAAGTTTAAACCTCCACTTTCTGTTTTTCTGCTTGGACCTATGGCCCATTGTGTGAAGAATTCTAGGTGTGAGGGGCACTGAAAGAAATCACCGTCACTTTCCAGAGCAGACTTCAAAGGAAAGCTCACTTTTCCCATTGCTTTTTATCTTTTTCCTATTCCTAGTGCTTACTCCTTTATTTTTTTTCCATGCTGCTGTTGTAATTTTTTTCCCCACTTTTAATTTCTCTACTAACTTTAAATTAGGCTCATGAGCTTGATCACCAGGTGGGTTTCCCCCTAGCTTCCACAGCAGCGCTTTCCAATCAGCAGCAGGCTTTGCAAGGGAATTTTGTTAAGCTGCAGATAGGAGACAGGAGCCCAGTGTGATCGGATCCGGTGTGCTCCATTGCTAAGTGTTTTTTATATCTGGTGAATTTGCCAAGAAGGGTTATATATTTAATTATTTTTAAGCAGGCAGGCTCGAAAACTCCTGATCAGTGGGGTTACCAGAGTGTGAGTGAGAGAAGAGGGATGTGGTGTTAGCCAGGGGAATGATTCATACCTCTGAAGTTAACCAAATGCTCGTGCATCTCCGGGAAGTAGCTTTGCATCTTCCAATTGCCTTTTCTGGGGAAAATGCAGTATAGGGGAAAAAAAAAGTATATTAAAAAAAAAAAATCCCTGGATTCAATTCTGGAGAATTTCAGCAGATGTGAAGTTACAGAGCTAGGAAGGAAGATTGGCACACACCTTTTGGGAGTTTTGTGCATGGTTTTCCTGGGCAGGTTCTCACAGCGTAAGCTTTTCCTGTCTCAAATGCTAAGTAGCATAAAATATGAGCTATTGGGGTAAATTGCAGTTTTTGCAGCCTCTGCTTAGCGTATTTACATATTCAGAATCTGCCTTGGGTTTTCTCGGTTTTATTCTTATTCTTTTAAAAGTACATTTACCTGGAGAAGGGCTTAGTTCTGAGTGCACAAAATAAGCATTTTCTCTGCAGTTGACTTTAATCCTACCAAAAGAATTAACACTCAGAGCAGAAAACCTTCTTTGGGTCCTACAGGGCATAAGAACATCTCAGGTACTGGCTGCTGGTTTAATAAAAGGATAGGATTTCCATTTACTTCAGGCAGGCTTAATGTATTGTTCTTGTAGTGAGACAGTCAGAATGAGTCAGGAGCCAAAGAATACACTTTATAGACACAAATAATCGTAAATTCAGAATGTCACCTTTAGGCAGAGGCATTTTTATTATTGTTAGTGGAGCTGCTGAGTAGGTTTGATGTTTTATTCTCTTGAGTACTAAATGTTCCAGAGTACCACAGCCCTATCTTTATCAGGCTCACAAGGAGGGAGCACAGCCAAACTTGCTTCCTATACTTCTCTATGATTGATAGCAGATGGCATGCTTTAAAATAAACCTATCCATTAGCAGTCCTCAGTGTTTTTACTCAAGGCATTTACAACTGTCTCAACCAGAAAACACATTCTCTCCACAAGCTCGTTTCAGTCTGCAACAGCTGTACAGGTGCAAATCTTTCATTAACTCTTAAACCGTGGTGAAATAAATGCTGCACTGTATTTTATTTTTAGTGGAAGAGGTTGTTCTTCAGAGGCAGAGTGGATTCTGTTCTCCCTTTGCATGTGGCAGAGGTTCATGGTAATAAACTGATATTGAAATATGGGAGGTTTTAAATTTAATTTTTTCTTTTAATTCTTTTTTCCCCCTAGTCCTCTGTAAACCTTTAGGATGCTCTATTGCCAAGAGATAAACGTGGCTGTCTGTAGGTATATAGAAAAAATTGGTGAAGTAGCAATACTGAAGGAATTGTAATTCAGGGCTGGGATTCCTGCAGGACAGCAGCCACCTCCTTCCCTGTCCCTGTAGCATCACCTGGGGTGGTAGCACTGGCTGGAACTCAGTGGGGGAGAAGCTGCAGCTGTCCCCCACCTCTGCCTCACAATAGGTTTTTTGGTTTTTTTTTTTTCCCTCTATCCTGTTTTATTTGGGATATATTTCTCTATCCTGGTTTATTGGAGAGATGCAGAGAGGCACACACTCACATGCCCACACACACATACATTTTCAACCTGATTCTGAGCTCATTGCTGGCAGGGTACTCCATAAATAAATTGCTGAAACCTGTCCCTCTATTCCAGTTATTTTGCCTAGATTTCTATGCAATACTCATAAAGGCTGTTAAAACTTATCCAGCGGTCCTTCCAATACAATGAACTCCCAAGCACCTCCCCAAACATTAGTACACTACCAGCAAAAGCTTAAAATATTAGTAGCAAATCTTTAATATTAGCATTTAGCATTAATATTAGACAAGATCTTAAAATATTAGAGCCAGATAAAAGAGTATTAACAGGGGTATAGGAGTCATTAGGCAGAATAACCATCACTGATTAAATGGATGCTGAAACTTTAACACGCAAACCAGTTCAGATGATAAGAACTTCACAGAGACAAGAGGATCCTTTCATTTAAAAGGAAGCTGGAGAGAGGAAGGTTAGGGATTTGAAAGCTGGTAAATAAAACAACACAGCGGGAGAAGTTATATAGAACGTGCTGTCTTGTTAGTGGTGATCATGTCCTATGTTATTTTTCTTAAGCTGAAAAGATAAAACAAGAAGACAGGCAATATTCTGTCACAAATAAATGGAAATTGGGGCATTTTTTTGTATAAATCCAAAGTAGCAGGAGAAAAATACAAATGTGCTCTCAGCGCTGTAAGTCTATATAGGGTAAAGGAGGTGCTAAAATGATTTAGCATGATGGTCTGCAGCTACCATGTTCTTTTTATGGCACAGCAAACAAAATCCAGCGAATTTGGACTCGATAGTATCAAGCTGGGGTCGTGGGGAGCAGAGCTGCAGTGGGGCAGCCCTGAGCAGGACTGAGCTCTGGGGTGGCAGCAGGGACCAGCCCCTGGTTCAGCTCTGCCCTGTAAGCACCTGGAGAATTTGGTGCTAAATGAAACAGGAGGGGAAAAAAACAAGGCCAGCTGTAGACATAAGAAGTTTAAGAGCATCAGTACTTGCTTCCAGCTAATCTCTCTTGATGACTCCTGTAAGCAGCCACGGCTGGTCGTTGCTGTTAATTATTCAAAGCCCCAAACCAGTTTTGCAGCTGAGTGGTGTAAGAGGATGTGCAGTGTCCCCATTTCTCAGTCTGACTGGGGGAAAGGCATGAGACATCACTGAGTGACATCCTGTTTTCCACACAGGAAAGGTGAGACTGGGAGAGGCAGCAGCTGACCCCATTCCACAGCCACACTGTCACCCTGAAACCTCACCTCTTCCTGGAGGGTCTGATGAGCTGGATGCAGGGCAGGACTCATCAGGGTCATGTTGGATCTTAAAACTATGAGTGGGATGGCTTTTTCTGAAGGTTCAGGACTGCATTCTTGTGTGTAGATTAATAATCCAAAAGACACTTGATTGCACTCATTAGTGCTCCATTGGAGGAGGAAACAGAGGGAAGAACAGGCACCTTGAGGTCTGCACGGTGTCCACCATATCCTCAGGCTGCCAGACACCAAAAGGTCAAGACTGTGCATATGTTCCCCCATAAGAAATATGGGGGCAAATTTTTAGCAGGGCCTGTTGTGATAGGATGAGGGATAAACTGAAAAAGGGTTGGTTTAGCTTGGAAATAAGGAAGTTTTTAATAAGGGAGGTAAAACTATGAAAAAGGTTGTCCTGAGAAGCGATGGCTGCCCTGCTCCTGGTCAGGCTGGATGGGACTTTGGGCTACGTGGTCTAGTTGAAAATATGTCTCTCTTTGTTGGAAGGAGTTTGGATTAAATGGCCTTTAAATGTCCCTATCTGAAGATATAGAAAACTATTGCAGTAAACAATCTACTCCAAAAGGATCTGTTCTAGAGACAACAGCATTGGTGTGTGGGATGGGTGTCTGTTGATGGCCAGCCTATATATGTGTGTGTGTATATATATATATATATGTACACACATACTTTTCATTATATAATTTTTCACTTTCATGATAGCAAATTGAATTTATTTCATTATGGCTTTTGGAGCTGCTGGTGGGTTTTTTGGTGTGATACTGGCCTTTTCTTTGGTGTCCAGGACTGCTCCCATCCACACAGACAGGTCCTTTATCCTGAAGCAGAAAGTCTAAAACACTTGTCAAAAATGGCT